ATACATACATACATACATACATACATACATACATACATACATACATATCTGCGTGAAAGGAATAGCAACATTCTTGAGGCCATAACTGCCTTAACTTCAGCTAGACTAGGGAAGTAATGGGAACTAGGATGAATTAGTGTGATATGTTAAAGTAGTCAGAAGTTTCTTTAAATGATAAGGGTATATTTTTAATACAGCAAAATTACAACATTAATCTAAACCCTAAACCTTTTTCCCCTCTATTTTATTAATTTTAATTGTAAGCTCTTATGAAATGTCATCAACTACTTTACAGGATCCTTTTTAAAAAGTCTGCTTTACTTGTAACAGCTAAATCCAGTGTGATATGAGAGGTGGGCCCTGAAGAACCTTCTTGTCCTTCATACCATGTAAATTTGACATGCAGGGAAAGAGAAAAAAAAAACCAAGCACAGCGAAACTTTTTTTTTTTTACTTTCTTCTTAGCAAAGAAACTTTTGTTCAGAGTAAAGCCTACCATAATCCAATGCCAAAATATGTTTGGCTTAATAATTTATTATACTACTTATGTATGTGGTTCTTTTAATGACTTCAGCATAGGTGATACTATATCTTAAACTCTCCTCTACTTTATCTCCTTTAGAAGACTGCAGTGTAAAATCAGAATTACAGAAATCTTTGTCTTGATAAAATTCTGTTTGTTTATAAACAATAGTAGAAAGCTTAGATATTAATATTCAATCATGTTCTTCTTCCTAGAAATCATTGATGATCTTGCCAATTTGGTAGAAAATACAGATGACAAACTACGCAAACAAACCAAAAATGTCTTGAGGGTGGAGAAAAAGTCAACTTCCTGTGGTAAGATTTTAAATTTCATTCCTTTTGCTTTCTACTGGTTGCTACTTTATGTGTTCTGAAACCTGGTTTAAAGCCATTTAGTTTTTTTTTCTGACAGCCAACACTATCTCTTTCATATAACCTTTCCTTTACAAACAATCTAACAATTATATCCAGGACCTTTGAAAAATATCTACCCTTTTTTAAAAGAGGGAAAGAAGTGTGATAAACCAGTTATAATTATCCCATGTTTGATTAAAGAAAATGAGTTATTTATCCCCTGGAGGGCATTCTCTACTTTGAGATAATTCCACTTCCTGGAACTAGTAGGAGGGGGTCAGTCTTTGAATGGGTCTTACCAGGAAATGTACCATTGGCCCTGCATAAAATGCAGACAGTTGAATTCATCTGGAAGTTCAAAAACCCAGTTGTTTAGTTTTTTAAAAAAAGCATATTAAGCTTTTAAAAGGCAGCAAATTCCAGAGTACACTGGAATTGGATGGTTAATAAATTTCAACAAATAAATAATTAAAATTTCCAATATTTTTTTCTTCTGGAAAATTTGACCCTCCCTTCCTTCCATATCTCAACTGTCTCTCATTATCATTATCTTTTCCATTTCCATCCTTCTCAATAAGCTGCTTGTCCTGGTCTCAGGGAACAAAAGTCCAATCAAGTGGCTCCCTCTTGAGATCCAACTACAGTATAATACATCACAGTAACCTTACCTACTAGCTATATTCACAGCTCCTTCATCCATCCTGATCCACCTTATGAAAATAGAACCACTGCCCTTACTACTTCCCACTCATTATAGCCCTCCTGGCTCTACTCCCCGGATCAGAAGAGGCAGGATGGAAAACAGTTTCCCTATTCTTTTGTGCATTACAGAGACTTTCCTTTTCACTATGGGAAATCACAATCCTCTTTTCTTATGATCACTTTGTTTCCACTCCCTCATCCTCAATTACACATGTTCATATAAATCCAAAGGAAGGGGAATAGGCCTACAGTAGTACTCTATTTTCATCTCCTGCCACTAGTTTAATATGTAGCATACTGTCTGTTTATTGTGGGATAAATATGGGGAACTATATGCTGCCATTTAGGCCCAGAAATGCATGGAAATTATGAGAGATAGGGGGATGGATGAATGCAAGGACATATACATTGATATTTTTGGCAGATTTTTATATAATACAGCATTAAGGACAAAGTATGAAAATGTGATTGTACATAAAAATGATCTTGTTATACTTGGGGGAGGGGGAAGGTTAGAAGAATATAATTTCTGGAGTAATTTTAGCACAAATAGCATAATAATAATGTAAGTAGTAATTTAATATTAAGCACCATGACATTCTGTGTAATTGAACTTGAAATCTGGACGTAGTGAATTCTGTCAGTATCTATTCATGATTACTGAAGCTAAGCTGATGGTATTTTCCTTTTTCATAAAGAGATATTTTTACATCCTCTTGTAGAGTTCAGAAAAGATTTAAGGACAATGTAGTTTTCTCCTTCTTCCACAAGGTGGTGATACTGTTCCTAATCTTCAGGAATTAAATAAAAGGCTTTTATATTGTTTTGGATTGTTTTGGAGAAACAGTAGAATCACCTCTTCTATTTTTTTTTCTCCTTAAACTTTTGCTATATCAGCCCATTTCAGAAATGTTGATTATTAAAGTAACCAGATATTTTCCCTGTTTTTGTTGTTATGTTTAAATATACAACAGTCTCTTCTAAATCAACAAAGAAAATTATAAAATCTTGAAGCCTGTCAAATTACAGCTGTAAGTTAGATTTTCTGTTCCTCTAAACTTTTTGAATAGATTATTTCAGGTCTGCAGATGCTTTCATAAGATATAAACTGTGTATGTTCCAATGAGGAAATCTCTATTCATTTTATTTCTAATATAACCAAGAGTTTAGTTAACATGACATGAAGTCAACTTTTCCTACAGTCTATTTGCTAGATGATTATGCCAATATTCCATCAAAAAACTGCATGGACAATTGCCTTGGCTTGGAACCAAAAGATGTTTTTCCGAAAGTATTTTTTCCTGGCATATGAGTTGTGCCAGTTTTTGAATCTTGTCATGTTTCCAGAGTTAAATATGTTGTATAGTTTTCCATAGAAGTGCTACCATGTTACTTGTAAAGCAAGCATTTTTTATTTCATTATCTTTTTCTTGAAAATATATTTTGTGTGTGTACACATCATGTGTTCTATAGAAATTGTGGACCAGATTGAGAAGAGATGATTGAGAAGGTATTTATTGTTTCCTGTTGAAAAAAAAAAAAAGGATATATTTTAATTACTGGAACACCAGTGCTCGATGTGCTGAGGTCAAATTAGAACCAATATATTTTTCAATTGTGTATGTTTCTACCCATGTTTTGCTGCCACCAGAACTTCTCTTGAAATCCAAAAACTCTTTTTTTCCCCCCCATTGAACATTAATTGCTATGGGCAGAATCTGAATTTGGATTTTGCCTTTAAATAATTAAGTCCATTGTTTGGCCAAGCTACCCAGACTTCTGCAGATCTACAAAGTATTACATCTTCTATGCATCTACTGCAGGAGGGTTAAACTGGTGGCCCGCAGGCTGGATGCCTCACGCACTGGCCACACCCACCTCAGCTCCACAAAGGGGCAAAACATTGTAAAACATCACGTGATGGCAACATGACATTGCGAGGTAACACCCATGATTTACTGTATTTATGAAAGTGAATTCTCACATGGTCAGAAGGAAACTGTCTGATGCCTGGTCTGTCCATTAACCAAATAAGAGATAAATAGAAACTGGTCCTCCTGCTCAAAAGAGTTGGGTGTCTAGTATCATGAAGGTTATCAGGTTTGCTACTTGTCCTTTTTCAAGGCATGGCAAGGGAAATGTGGTACAGGAAGCGGTTTCCCAATCAGCATGTTTTTTTTCCTAGCTCAAGATAGGAGGAAACCACCTCACAGGAGGTATGGGGAAAGAATCTCACATCTATTATACAATGTCATGTGTAGCGTTTCCTGAATCAGAGAGAATTCACCCAAAGATTTACCCACGGTCTTATCTGTGATGTAGGCCTTTTCCTGTGATGTAGTTTCTTCCTATCTTTGAGATAGGAAAATAACATGGTGGTTGGGGGAAAATTCTTCTTCCACCACATTCTCCTTGCCATGCCTCAAAAAAAGGACCACAAACTTACTTCCCTCAGACAGGATTGGGAGAGTGTTTTCCCGCTTCTGCTGATGAGGGAACTGATAGGAAAAGAGGAACTGGGAAGGAGATTCTCACTGTCATTCTCCTCCTTCCCCAAGCAGGTATCCTTGCACATCTTTTCAGCAATGGTGCTTTTCAGCCCCACAATTTTTAGGTAAAATTGTTCCAAGCTCTTCAGAAAGTACAAAGCAATGGCAGATTGTTGCAGTAGTAGAGAGTCAAATTGGCCATTTTCTAAGCTATGGTATCAGCCCATGAGGTACACCAGACCAAGACAGCAACTCCACAGGAAGGCTAAAACTACTTTTATTGAGATTGCCCGTAAGAATTTTGCAAGTCTAATTGCACTGTATCTTTTTGCTCTTCAAATAATTCTGAGAATTAGAGAGGTGTCTGTCTAAATATCCTAAGTTTCTTTTAACCTTTTGTCGCTATAGTAATGGATCTTGCATATTTCTATCAAAATCATCTTCCTTGCTCTCTATACATGGCTATTGTAAGCAAACAGGCCAGAAGTTGTAGCCTGGAAAATCGGGGGGGGGGGGGGGGATTGTCATGGTGGAGATGGCAGAGATTACCTTCAGAATAGTAACTTCATCTAATATATAGTTGGACAAAAACATGAACAGCCAAAGGTTTGAGAGGTTCTCTTCTGTCAGGCAGCTGAAATGGCAGAAAGCAGAAATGGCCATAGAGGCACAGAAACCTGTGACTGGACGGGAGGGGATAGTCTTGAAGTAGTTCTGCAGGTCACTTATCTCCTCAGCCCCTGCTTTATAAAACACAGCAAAAATATTGTGGCACCCAGTAGAAAATAATACAAGGTATCTCATGTTGGGTATCTTTTGTCTGGTCTTAGCCTGTTTCAGTGGTAGACTAGATCAAGCTGTGGTGAAAACATGTCTTCCACAACAGAGAATAGGCCACCTTGCAGCTGGGGCCAGGAGGATATGTAGATGAACTGTTAGTAGAGGCCCCATAATTAGTAAGTTACTATTTACTTCTGGTGACATGACAGCTGCACGAAATAATAATCCGCATCATATCTGCCAAGTTGTGTGTTTTTTCAGCAATATTTTAATATTTTTTATTGTTCAGATTAGGTCTTGTGCTGGGATTCTTGGTTAACAGAAATCTTAGCAACAATCAATCCTCCTAGGACCAAAATGTTGATTTCCAGGTGTCAAACGTTTTATTATTATTTGTAATAATAAGTCCCAGCATTGGCACTGGTTTCTGTCCTCATCTTTTGCTTTTCTCCTGATGAAAAAACATCAAAGTAATGTAGCTTGGCCCAGTTACCCAGACAGCCTGGTGCATAGCTCTCCTTAGACCTGTATCTAGGGAAGGCTTTAATCGCAAAACAATCATTCTGTTGGCAGGCAAACATCTCTGGCGAGAGCAATCAGAAAGAAAGTATCTGGACAATAAGTTGTCCAGTTGTCCTCTAGTTTTTTGTTTTTTTTTAAAGAGGCATAGGCCAAGTTCATATTTTCTTGCATTTTACTTTGGGGAGCAAAAATCTGACATTTAGAATGATACTCCCAGAACTTCTTTGAAAGGTCATTTGAATCTGCATATTAAAAGTTTAGATACCTTAATCTTGTCCTTCTTTTATTCTAGTGCTAGATTCTGGCATATCTAGTGAGAAATGGATAGAGCTAGGAAAGGGAAGGGGATAGCAACACCTAGTTAATTACATTTGCATATGCAGCTGTTCAAACAGAGTTTGGCCAGTGCCTGCTCCATCTCTTGCTAGGGATTTGGTACAGCTGTCACTGATCCCTGCAGTTCATTGG